GGGCCTTGAATTACAATCTATGGAGAAGCAATGCAAGTGGTTACCCGAGACTTACATTCTGTTGAAGGTGACGGTCGCCAAGCATTAGTGGAGAGATTCTCTCCGAGAGAATGAGAGTTCAGGAAACTAGAAGGGCTATTGCAGCCGTGAAGGAATCAGGAGAAGAATCTTGCTGGATCGTGAAGCCGGCGTCGTTGAATAGGGGCATGGGAATAAAAGTATGATCATCATCATCATACTACCTCGACAATTACCACTGGTGTGAAACACGATACAATTGATTCACGTTAGACTCACTATGTGGAATAAGAAATTCTATAGTTGCTCTGCTACTCGATATAGTGGCTATATAATATGATGCCCAACGTCCTTGCCTGTGCAAATACTCGACACTTCAGATTCTCGACCGGAAAACCGCCTTAGAGTACTTAAAGGGCCTCGAAAAGGGAAGGCCATCCAAAGCTGTCATTCAACGATACATCAGTGATCCTCTTCTTTTGGACGGGTGTAAATGCGACCTCAGAATGTTCCTCTTGATAACGCGAACGCAACCGTTGAAGGTACTCATGGTATCCGCTTACTGTCCTACTAATCATGATAGGCCTATTTTGCTCGTGGATATGTACGGCGCACTCTGAGTGAATATTGTTCCGATATCACTAATCGCTGTGCACATCTAACGAACCAGGCAGTTCAGAAAAAACTTGGAGATGACTATAAAACTAGGAAGCAGGAATCGACCTGGTGCGGACTATGCTGAAATCACTAGCCAGAAAATGGTATCCTTCAGGAGTATCCAACGCTTGTGTGAATACTTAGCATCAACTTCGTCATCTGAGGGAGACGCCTCGTGGTGGCTTAACACATGGTACTGTCGTGTGCTCGAGCCCATCATTATGGAAATGGCAACAGTGACCTTAGAGGGGGCTCGTGACTCTCTGAGCAGGCAAGGACATTCTCGATGGTCTCCTCTTTAGATGAGAGCCGATCAGTGTTGAGAAATATATGTTCGCTTTCCTCGGTTGAGCTTGAGAGTTTCCCCACTTATTAAAGAGGTTTCCATAGGATTTACGGTATAAGTATACAGATATGTCCCAAAACTTGTCGAAAGTCCTTCGGAATTTCCATATATACGTAGTCGAGCATGTGCGTATTTTCCACACAATAGTGGTAGGTCTACTAGACAGGGGAAAAACGGTACCATAATCGGCGGTGAGTTCTTCGGTTATGACGTCCTCCCTGGTGCTGACCTCAAGCCCTATCTGTTGGAGTTCAACTCAAACCCGGCCATATTCACCAACACGGACGTTCTCAATG